CCCGCGCAGCGGCCGCACCTACTTCAAAGGCCGCTTGTTGGGCAAGGTGGGCCGGGCGGCGCTCGCGGGGTGCAGGGAGCCCCACCGGGCCGGGCGGGGCGCCGGGCCCCGGCTTGGGGACCTCGGGGGCGCTCGGCCTGATGCTCCTGCTCCTAGGGCGGGTTTGCCCGCTGCTACGAGGCCACCGACACTGAGAGCGGCAGCCCCTACGCGGTCAAAGTCGTCCCGCAGAGCCGAGTCTCCAAGCCGCACCAGCGCGAGAAGGTGGGTCCCGCGCCGCGGACGAGGGCGGGCGGGACGGCGGCGGGCAGGGCGCCTGGAGGGATGACCGGGCTCCCATTGCAGATCCTCAACGAGATCGAGCTGCACCGAGACCTACAGCACCGCCATATCGTCCGTTTTTCACACCACTTTGAGGATGCCGAGAACATATACATCTTCCTGGAGCTCTGCAGCCGAAAGGTGGGGATGAATTCCAGCAGGGAAGCGGGTAGGAGAGAAGGCGAGTCCTGAGACCCACGGCCGGGGCCGCCTTTCTCGGCCAGGACAGACGGAGGGGGCCTCGGGGAGGGCGAACGGGGGCTGAGGCGGTGGCTCTCCGCAGTCCCTGGCCCACATCTGGAAGGCCCGGCACACCCTGCTGGAACCCGAGGTGCGCTACTACCTGCGGCAGATCCTCTCCGGCCTCAAGTACTTGCACCAGCGGGGCATCTTGCACCGGGACCTCAAGCTGGGTGAGGCTTCTGGGTCAGTAGGGCGGGGCCAGGAGAAGGAGCGGGGAAGGAACCTGACGCCTCTGTCTCTGTCCAGGGAATTTCTTCATCACCGAGAACATGGAGCTGAAAGTGGGGGATTTTGGGCTGGCAGCTCGGCTAGAGCCCCTGGAGCAGAGGAAGAAGTGAGTGTTTGAGGGAGGAGGTGGTCGTGCACGATCTGTGTGACACAGATGGTGTGCGTGGCAGACGGTGAGTGTGTATGTGGGAGGCAAGGTGACCTCCTGACGTGTGCATGTGATAAACAAGGAAGGGGTGACGGGCTGTTTGTGTACGTGTGGAGGCGGCAGCCGGAATGGCTGGGACTGGTGGGGAAGGTGAAGGTCCTGCTAAATGTGTGACTGGGGAGGGAGTAACCCCGAGTCCCGGAGACAGAAGGGGAGTGCGGGTTCTTGGAGGTACAGACTGCCCCCGCGTGTGGGTGAGGGCAGGACATGGACCCTGGGGGTGTGTAAGAAGACCCTGCTGTGGTCCCTGTGACTGGGGGCGTATGACAGATAGGCGTGTGTGGCTGATCCGTGTTCGGGGGGATGTGACAGCTGGTGTTGGTGTGTGTATGGCACAGACCGAGGGAGGTGACAGCCTCATGGTTGTGTCTCACAGATGGGAGTGGGGGAGGGCCAGCCGTGGACCTTCTGTGACCCCTGAGGAGGGGCTAGGTTGGGGGTCAGCTCTCCCCTCCCCGTCCTTCAGAGCTGCTGAGCAGCTGCACCAGGCAGGTGGGCGGGGACTCGGCTCTCATCCCCAGCATCCATTGTCCCGGGACAAGCAGGAGCTCTCTGGCCTTTGGTGACAGGCAGCTGCTTTGTCTAGAGTCACAGTGGGGGCAGGAACGGGAGGGCTGCTGGGCTGAGTCTGCGCCCTCCCTCCCCTCTCCACCCTCCTTCAGGACCATCTGTGGCACCCCCAACTACGTGGCTCCAGAAGTGTTGCTGAGGCAGGGCCATGGCCCCGAGGCAGACGTGTGGTCGCTGGGCTGTGTCATGTGAGTGCCCGGCTCAGTGGCAGACAGGTTGTGGGTGTGGGGACGGGGCACTCCTGCCACTCTACTACCGAGCCTCTGTCCCTGGCCCGCAGGTACACGCTGCTGTGTGGGAGCCCCCCCTTTGAGACCGCAGACCTGAAGGAGACCTACCGCTGCATCAAGCAGGTTCACTACACGCTGCCCGCCAGCCTCTCACTGCCTGCCCGGCAGCTCCTGGCTGCCATCCTCCGGGCCTCCCCCCGAGACCGCCCCTCTATTGACCAGATCCTGCGCCACGACTTCTTTACTAAGGTCCGTGGCTCTCAGACATCTGGGTTCCGTCTGCATATTCCTAGGGGGTTAAGTGGGCAGGTGACAGGACCACTGGGGCCTTTTTTCTATTGACATGGCTCCCCTCCCAGGGCTACACCCCTGACCGGCTCCCTGTCAGCAGCTGTGTGACAGTCCCAGACCTGACACCCCCCAATCCGGCAAGGAGTCTGTTTGCCAAAGTTACTAAGAGTCTTTTTGGCAGGAAGAAGCGCAAGAGTGAGTGGGGCGTCAGTGGGCTGGGGGTGCAGAGTGGTAAAGCTGCCGTCATGTGCATCTTGGGGATGCGAGAGTGTGGGTGCCTGTGCGCTGGGAGAGCGTGTGTCATCCAGGCCCTCGGGAAGTCCCGTCTTCGTGTCATCCTTGCGGGAAACACGGCTGGCAGGACACTGAGGCCTGTGCTCCTACCCCCAGATAAGAGCCGTCCCGAGGAGAGGGAGGAGGTCTCCTGTTTGGTGAGCGGCCTCATGCGCACGTCCCTTGGCCATCGGGGCGCCAGGCCCGAGGTGAGATGCTCACGTGGCCACTCTGCCCTGACTCATGCCTGCCCCAGCAGCTGAGGGAAGCCCGGGATAAAAGGCTGATGAAGCATCCAGCCTCGTGGTGGCCTAATAGGCTGTGTCTCATTAGCCAGCTGGGGCTGACCTAGGGTGCCCTGGGAACCAGGGCAGGACTGGGCCGTGAACTCTCAAGGATTTGCCTATGTCACTCTGTTCCCACCTAATGCTCCAGGTGCCAGCAGCTCCTGGTCCAACCCCGGCGGGCCTGGTAGAGACAGTAGCTGAAGATAGCTCACCCCGGGGGACACTGGCCAGCAGTGGAGAAGGTAAGGAGCCAGGGAGTCTGAGAGCTGCCAGAGGTTGCCGGTCCAGGGACCAGAGGGAAGGAGTCGGTTGGCGCAGGGATGCAGGCTGTGTCCAGCAGGGCTAATGCCTAAATCTTGGGCGCTGTTCCCTTCAGGTTTTGAAGAGGGCCTGACAGTGGCCACAGTGGTGGAGTCGGCGCTCTGCGCTCTGAGAAACTGTGTGGCCTTCATGCCCCCAGGTAAGGCTGATGTCCGGTATGCATAACGGGGTTGGCCGGCCGGGAGCAGCTCCTCACCCGCTCCTCTCCTGTGGCAGCGGAACAGAACCCTGCCCCGCTGGCACAGCCGGAGCCTCTGGTGTGGGTGAGCAAGTGGGTTGACTACTCTAACAAGTTCGGCTTTGGGTACCAACTGTCCAGCCGCCGCGTAGCGGTGCTCTTCAATGACGGCACGCACATGGCCCTGGCAGCCAACAGAAAGTAAGTGCTGCTGGGGTTCCCTCGTGTCCAGGCATCTACCGAGCAGGGCTGCACCCTGGTGTGTTTCCTGGCTTAGGGACCTGGGTTGCTTGGGGTGGGGCCTTGGTGCAGGGCTCGCTTCGACCTCCCCCTCCCCCTTTGCAGGACGGTGCACTACAACCCCACCAGCACAAAGCACTTCTCCTTCTCTGTGGGTGCTGTGCCGCGGGCTCTGCAGCCTCAGCTGGGCATCCTGCGCTATTTCGCCTCCTACATGGAGCAGCACCTCATGAAGGTGCGTAGGCTGGGGTACGGCACACTGAGGACTAAACGGCTGCTCCCTCTGATTCTCCTTTGGGGGTGGAGTACAAAGGTACAGGTTGAATCTGTAAGGAAGGGAGACTTCCAGAGGGAGGGGCCTGGGTCCCTTCAGACCGGTAGCCTGCCCGCCCTGCTTCCAGGGTGGAGATCTGCCCAGTGTAGACGAGGTAGAGGCACCCGCGCCGCCCTTGCTGCTGCAGTGGGTCAAGACGGATCAGGCCCTTCTCATGCTGTTCAGTGACGGCACAGTCCAGGTAAGAGTGAATTCTGGAGTAGCGGGGAGGCCTGGGAGGCAGGGGCTGCTGGGAAGGAAACTGTGTCTGGGGCCTAGGCCCTGGTCAACATCACCCTCTTGTCCACAGGTGAACTTCTATGGGGACCACACCAAGCTGATCCTCAGCGGTTGGGAGCCCCTCCTTGTGACTTTCGTGGCCCGAAACCGCAGCGCTTGTACTTACCTCGCCTCGCATCTCCGGCAGCTAGGCTGCTCCCCAGACCTGCGACAGCGACTGCGCTATGCCCTGCGCCTGCTCCGGGACCGCAGTCCAGCCTAGGCCCCAGCCTGCAGAGTGGCCGTGTTCCAAGCCCTGGGGCCTAGGCCTGTGCCTGTTAAGGTTCCAGTCCTTGCTTTTGTGGCCCTCCCTGTCCCTTTGGTGCCTCGCTGGGGGCTCTGGGCTGAATCCCCCAAGGAATCAGGGACCAGCTTTACTGGAGTTGGGGGTCGCCTACCCTTGCTGTTTCTTACCCCCCTCTCTGAGATAAGCCTGAGCCTTAGCCCCCAGCTAGGGGGCATTATTTATGGACCACTTTTATTTATTGACAGACATTTATTTATTGGGATGTGAGCCCCAGGGGGGTTCTCCTCCTGGAAATAATAAACCATTTTGCAGAACTTGGAGGCCTCCTTACTCACAGTAGAGCCCGTGGACAGTGGCCACCACAAAGAGGGAGGCATTGGTGAAGGACGCAGAGGCCAGTCCATCGCAGGCCTCGTCCCAGAGCGCGCGGCTGACTACTCGCACGTCCTGGCCGGCGCGCGGCCCCAGCACCACGCTGCACACCAGCTTGTAGCACGGTGGGCTGCACTCGCGCAGGCGCACATGTACCTGCTCACACAGCTCCCTCACCAGCTTGCCGGCCTCGGAACCCGAGTAGCGTGCATTGTGCAACTCCGCCTCCAAGGCCGCTTCCAGGGCCCGCTGGGCACGCACAGCCTCCCAGCGCTGCCCAGGTGCAGGCTCCATCCTGTATGAGGGCGCCACCCGCCGCGCGGGTACCAGGGGCAACCCCGAGAAGCTGATCCGGGAAGCTAGAGGGGACCCTGGTCCCAGCGATGGCCGCCGACCGCCAGCCCCGAGGCCTGGCCCAGCCAGTGAGTTGCGGCGTGAGAAGGACACCGGGAGGCCCAGCACGGATCCACGGCGGGAGGCTGGGCCCAGGCCTGCTGGTCGGGCCTCATCGATGCTGGGCAGGCGGCTTCCAGCCCGTACTGGTGGTAGTTTGGTCCCCAGGTCTTTGGTGGTCTCCTCCTCCTGACGTCCAGGGGCCAGAACCCTGCCAGCCATGGACCTGCAGGCTGGAAAACCCACTCGGGATGGCATTCAATGGCCATCTTTCCATACCACTGACCCTGTTTTACACCCCCCGCCCCCTTTGAATTCAGGACCTTTGCACTGAGATAGAATCTCACTATGTATCTCAGACTGGACTCAAACTCACCATCCTCCTGTCTCAGCCTCCTGAGTGCTGAGATTACAGGCTGTCACTACACATTTTTTTTTTTTTTTTTGGAGAAAGCAGCTCACTGTTACCCAGGGTCCTTTAGGATTCCTGAGCTATGGTGGTTCTCCTGCCTCAGCCTCCTGAGCAACTGGGACTACAGGGACTGGTGACTATAGGCATGCGCCACCCCATGCAGCTATCCCTTATCCCCTATCCCAGTGGGCTCCTTTTAGAGCTCACAGTGATACAAACAGCCAGATGTAGCTCCCATACCCTAGGTTCACCACCCCTGCCCTATACCATCTTACCTGTTTTTGTAGTAAGTGGATCAAATTGGGGCTGCCTGGTTTCCTAGGTGCTTAGAGGACTGTTAGGGACAAGCTGGGGAGAGATGCTTCTGTCTGATCCTGAGTTCTACTTTCCCTTGGGCACCCCGGAGTTAGCTAGGTGAGCTCTAAATATCCCTAAGTACCCCTCCCTTTCCTCCCTTCCACCTGACTTAACCAGCAGAAAGGGGAGATGAACCTGACTTCTGGATCTTCCAACCCTTAACCAGGAGGAACAGACAGACTCAACTCCTCCCCCTACAAATCGCTGCAGCCCTGGGGCTGTGCAATCCAGGCACTGCCACCTCTGTCTTCTTCAGGCAGGGCACAAAAGATCCCACAGCAGGCTGAGGCTGGGGGCAGGGGACCTGTGGAGCTCTTTCGTGACTTCACCTCCTACAGACACACATCTGGGATCACCCCTCCTCTTCTTCTCCCCTCTGCTCCCGAAACTCCCGCAGGCGCCTGAGTCACCTGCAGCCTTTGGCCTCCAAGCGGCTCCACAGGTGTCTCCTGGCTGGCCTGACTGGTGGGGTGGGAGGGAAAGGCAGTGTTGTGCAGTTGCCATGGCTGCCGGGCAAGCACTCCTCCCTCCCAGGCTCCGTCTCCAGCCTGCCTGTGGTAGGACCTGGGAGTGTTATCTGAGCAGCCGCTGAGGGGGCAGCCCGAGCGATGGGGAGAGGTGGCACACAGGAGTGAGGTGTCAGGGGCATGTGGCATCCTACCCAGGGCTCGCTGTGAAACGCGGGACTGACCCCTTGTGAGTGAGTCACAGGGGCCTATGCTATGAGGAAACCTTGAAGGGGCGGAGGCGGCTGCTCAGGAATCCAGGATCAGGGCCCACAGGAAGGAGCGCGTCATGACTGTCTCCCCACCAGCCTCAACAAGGACAAACATTTCCGCTTCAGGCACAGAGCAAGGGTGGGGCTTGGATGACTTCCTCAGTTCAGGGCTGTGTTGGGGGAGGGGAGGCCGGCGGCTCAGCTGGGAGGACCGGGACCCAACACCACCCAGTGGCAAACCCAAGTCTGGTCTCCAGACCTTTGCTGACCCCAGGGCCTAGGGCTTGTGGCCAGCCGGCCACACCTCTCCTGCGCCTCAGGCCTAGGCTACCCCTTCCCCACAGCAGCTGCCAGAGCCTTTGCGCTTCTGTCAGAGCTGACACCTCACCTGACCCACATCTGGGAGGGATGAGACTGCAACACCATCTATGGGTTGGGGTTTTCCCAGGTGATGTGGGGTTCCCCATCCTAGCTAACCTGATCCTAACTTATGAGCCAGTTAGGGGGAAAGAGTGGGAAGCCAGGGGAATTAACTCTGGACCTGGCACAGACAGGAGCCACTGCTAGGCCCCTCTGACTCTGCTCAGGGCCCTTCCACAGTGAAATTCTCCCCTGGGCCTGTGGGGAGGTAGGCGGAGCCTCCTGAGGCCCAGCTCCAGTTTCCATGGAAACCCACAGGCTTCCCACCCCCTGGCTGCTTGAGCAAGCTCCAAGCCCCGGCCTCCTTCTCGGCTCTGTGTCGGCTGCTCCAGCCTCGGCCTCTCCTAGGTCCCGACTGTCTCATTCCTGAGGCTGTGGCCCCCTCAGCAGGCCTCTGATGTCTTCTAAAGGAACCTGGGCCTCTTTTTCCTTAAACGACAGCTTCTCAGCTCACAGGCCTCCCCGGCTCCTTGCCCTCCCTCGCAGGCCTCTCTAGTCCCCTCGCCCCGCCCATGGAGACCCCAGGACTGGTCGTGCATGGACAGGCTGCGTCCTTTTCCACAGCGCTCCGAAGCCTTGTCAACAACCCCCAATTCAGGTGAGGGAATGAGCCCCGTCCCGAGCGCGGATTTTCCCCAGCTGGCTCTGCCGGGCCCCAGGACTCTGAGGAGGCCTGGGCGAAGGGGTCAGGAATGAGGACTTGGCCGTCGTCCCTGATGAACTCGCTCTGTGGGAAGGTTAAGTGTAGAGAGTGTTACTGTTCGCTGAGTCCGTGACATTCTGAGAGTCAGAGGTGGCGGGCCGTGGGGGCTGGAGCCTGACAGGGCTGCGTGAGCTCAGGCAAGGCTCTTCCTTCTCTGGGTCACGGCTGACTCTTCACAGAGGAGAAAAGAGCCCTCAGTCCCTAGACCCCACGAGATGGGATATAATTTGACACCCTTCTATGGAGCATGCAGCTAGGTGTTGGGGCTCCCTTTTTTTTTCCCCCTCTGGTACGGGGAATCTAACTCATGACCTTGCGCTTGCCAGGCAGGCGCTGTGTGGCTGAGCTAAATCCCCAGCCCCTTGGGGCTCCCGATTAAAGAGGCAGAGGAGCACACGACCCTGTTCTGGGAACTGGAGATTCACAAGGGGAACAAAGCTCAAGGGATTGCCCAGACAGGAAGTAGTTCAACCGTGCTGCTTATTGCTTGCCCAAGATGCTGATCAGGAGAGCCTGAATGCAGCTTCCTGTCCCTATTGCTCAGATCTGGTCTCCTCTGCAAGGGCTGGTGACTCTCGCAACCCTGCTTTGTTGCGGGGGATGGCAATTGGGCTGGAATAGTGGGAAACCTTGGCCGTGGACGTGGAACTAGGAGCCACCAGGCGCATCCAGCCTTTTTTCCTATCTCTCACCCCTACCTTGTTCAGAGGCCCAGAGGCTGAGGCCGGAAGTGATCATGAAGATGGAAAATGTGGTCGGGCCTCATCACGGTGCCTCACTGCCATGTGTGTGTGCAATCAGTGTGCTCCCTGCACCCCACACCCCCACACCCTCTTGCCGTGAGGGCTGAAAAAAGCTGAGTTGGCAGCCAGTGGAGGAGGCACCAAGAAGAGCTTCCGTTCCCTTGTCTCGAGGCAGGGGAGGGCAGGAGAAGGGGACCAGTCTTGCTTGTGTCAGCCCTCAGTGACAGAGCACGGCTACCTCGAGACCTGAAGTGACGGGCAGGAAACCTGAGATTTAAAGATAGAAAGTCATTTGCCTGTTGTGCCCGAGTGTAGAGCTAGAACTAGAACTCAGAGCTGTGTGTCCCAGGTGACTTTCTGCTGGAAGGCCCCGGCTCTTACATTACACATAAGGAAAGTAAGGCCCAGAGTGGGCCAAGGCAAGGCCCAAGCTGTCCCCTGGACTCTTCTCCCCTGGCCCTGCCACTCTCTCCTACAGTGATGTTTGCTTTGTGGTTGGTCAAGAACGGCAGGAAGTATTTGCCCACCAGTGCTTGCTGGCCTGCAGATGCAACTTCTTCCAGCGACTTCTGGGCACGGAGCAGGGCTCTGGGGTGCCTAGACCCGTGGTGCTGAGCACGGTGCCAGCGGAAGCCTTCTTAGCAGTGCTGGAGTTCCTGTACACCAACAGTGTCAAGCTGCACCGCCACTCCGTGAGCACCCTGAGCAGGGGCTGGGGTGGTAGGGGCTGGGGTGAGAAGTCTGTCTGCTACACTGTGGGCCCAGAACCCCTTCTGCTTCCCCCACTGCCCACTCTGCAGGTGCTGGAGGTGCTGACGGCAGCTGTGGAATACGGGCTGGAGGAACTGCGAGAGGTGGGTTTTTATGCCAGGCCCCGTTTCACATGCCTGTAATCCCAGCACTCGGGAGGCTGAGGCAGGAGGATCGAAGGATTGTTGCAAGTTTGAGACCAGCCTGGGTTACAAAGTGAGCTCAAGGCCAGTCTGAACTTCAGTGAGACCCTGTCTCAAAAAAAGCCAAAAAAAAAAAAAAAAAAAAAAAAAAAAAAGAAAAAAGAAAAGAGACAAGGTCTGGCTATGTAGTTCAAGCTGGGCTTGGACTCACTATGTAGCTCAGGCTGGCCTCAAACTCGCAGACAGGCTCCGTTTCTCTTGTCTCTCAGTTCACACCCTGCCTCACACACTCTGACCTGCAGGGCACATGTCACACAGACGGAAGCATAGATCTTTCCCCGTGTGTCCAGGGCATGTTCATGTGCCTCTGCGTAAAGGATCTTTTTACATCCCCTGTGTGTGTACAGCAGGCACAGGAGTGGTGATAACGGGGCACAAGGACAAATCACCTTGATCCCTGAGCAGCAGTAATCCGGTGGCAGAGTGTGATAGGTGAGGGTAAAACAGGCTGAGGCCACGTAGGAAGAGTTCCTGGAGGAGGAAACGTTTGTGTTGGATTTGGCAGAAGGAAGACTGTCATAGGGGAGTGGGAAGATGTTATAGTCAGAGTAGCCAAAGGAGCTAGTGAGACATTTGTGTGGCTTGACTAGAAGTGAGAGAAGAGAGGGGGTGAGGTGACACAGGGGCGGGGGGAGGGCAGTGCCTGGTTCATGCAGGGTCTTTAAGAATCTAGACTTTTTTTGTGTGTGTCTTTTTGAGACAGGGTCTCACTATGTAGTTCAGGCTGGCCTTGAGCTCACTTTGTAGCCCAGGCTGGTCTTGAACTCACCACGATCCTCCGATCCTCCTGCCTCAGCCTCCCGAGTGCTGGGATTACAGGCGTGTACCACCACGCTGGGTAAGAATCTGGACTTTTGAGTCCCTGTAATCCCAGCGCTTGGTAGGCTGAGACAGGAGGATCACCAGGAGTTTGAGGCCAACCTAGACTACAGAGTGAGCCTAAGGCCAGCCTGAATTACAGAGTGAGACCCTGCCCCCCCCTCCCAATCTGGACTTCAAGCTTCACTGGGCAGTTCCCTATTATAACTCACTGCTCACTGCTTTTGGAGTGCAACTCAGGACACCTCTACGAAGCTCACACCCATTTCTGTTCCCAGCTGTGCCTGGAGTTTGTGGAGAAGGTGCTGGATGTGGAACTAGCTTGTGAAGCCCTGCAGGTGGGTGTTGCTGGACAGGCCTGGGAAGAGTCTGGCTTTCAGTGTGTAGTTCAGGGCTCCAGGTGTCAGAAGCCTGTCATATACTATGTCTGGCCTAGCCCGGCATGGAATTCAAGGCCAGCCTGAGCTGCGCGGCAATATCTTATCTCAAAACAAACAAAAAACCTCTAAAAACACCCAACCAAACCAAAAAACTTGTTGGGGCCAGAACAACTTGGAAACTTGAGAAGAAGGGGACTGCTCCAAGGATGTTCATGGGATAAATCTGGCGCCTGGATCTGTGAGATGTAGGGTACATCAGAGGGGTAAGGTGCAGGAGCAAGAGCTGAAGGTCGAAGTTCTTTGCTGGTCTTCAGTCAAGGCTGGAGAAGGGTACGGAACTGAAAAGCCAAACGTAGGCCCTGGGGTGGCGTTTGAAGTCTATGCTTGCTCTCCTTTAGTGTCTGCTCGCATGTGCATGTGTCAGCGGGGACTTTCACTGAGTTTAGTTTCCTGGGAGGCTGGAGGCGGCTGGAGGCCTCGGTCAGCCTCCCCAGTTAGGGCCACAGTAAGGTCAGGACTGCAGTGACAGTCCCGTGTGCAAGGGTGGGGGTCTCTCCACTGTCCAGCCTGACATCCCTCACTCTGCTCCCAGGTGGCTGTAACTTTCGGCCTAGGGCAGCTGCAGGAGAGGTGTATAGCGTTCATAGAAGCCCACAGCCAGGTACCGCTCTCCATCTACATACTCTTCACCCCTCCAGCCCATCCTGCTCCCCCCTGAGCCACTCTCCGACCCGCAGGAGGCGCTCCGGACCCGCAGCTTCCTGGAGTTGTCGGCCGCGGCGCTGCTGCCCCTGCTGCAGAGCGATAAGCTCTGCGTGGACGAGGCTGAGCTGGTCCGGGCTGCCCGGAGCTGGGCGCGCGTGGGAGCGGTGAGCGGGGGCGGGAGGAGCGCGGGCCACTGACGGCGGCGCCGGCCGCAGGGACCCGGAGAGCCGGCGGCGGGGCAGGCGCTCCGGGCTCAGGGCTGGCGTTCGCAGGCCGTGCTGGAGCGGCCGGTGGCCGAGGTGGCGGCCCCGGTGGTGCGAGAGCTAAGACTGGCCTTACTGGCCCCGGCGGAACTCAGCGCCCTGGAGGAGCAGAACCGGCGGGAGCCGCTCATCCCGGTGAGGACGCGGGAACCAGGCTCAGCTGCTGGCAGCGCGGCGGAGGGAGCTGGGGCGGGCGCGGTGCGGCTCAGGCTCTCCGGGGAAAGGGTCGCTGCCAGACGGAGCCGAGCAGCCTTTTCTTCCAGGTGGAGCAGATCGTGGAGGCGTGGAGATGCCACGCCCTGCGTAGAGGAAACCCAGCCCAGGGCGCCCCGTGCCGCCGCCGGAGGGGCACCCTGCCCCGGGAGCACCACCGCTTTCTGGGCCTGCCCTTCAAATGACGCCCTGCCGCGACTGCGGGCAGTTCTGGGGCGGTCCACGCCGCAGCTCCCGGCATGCTCTGCGCTCGGCGCTCGCTTCCGCTCCCGGCATGCTTGGCGAGGCCCGCGCCGGAAGAGCCGTTCTGTGCGGAGCGCTGAGCCCGGTGCCTGGGCGAGGGCTGGAGGGCGGGCCTCGTGGCGAGGGCGAGACCCGAAGGCGAGGCTTCCTTCGCCCCACGCCCTTTCTCTTAACCGGTCTGCTCTCCTGACTCCCACGGATCTGTTCAGTTCAGCCTCCCCTGTGGACCTGCTTCTTAGAGCTCTCTGCCCTACGACGCAGCACAGTGCTAAATCGGGTTCCCCATCTTTCCGCAGCTCTGCTCCCATCAGGCCTGTCATTTGCGTGGGTGCCCACGCCGAACACTTGGATCTCATCCTTGCCTTACCCTTCGCACACCTGCCTCAGGTCGCCTTCTAGGAGACCCTCGCTCTTAGTCTTCTTCAGCCCGTCCTGCTCAGTCATACCTGACTGGTCTTCCTGCCTTCACTCTAGCGCCCCCTCCCGTTATTTCCCACACTGTAGCCGGCGCAGCCCTTATCTCAGCCTTCCTCCCTAAATCCTTTTATCATCTCATTGCCCGGGAGGACGGAGTCCACTTCGCTTTGGTGCGCTCCGAACTACTGTGGTCCTAAACATTTAGCAACTCTTTTCTCAACCTTGCCTTTGCGGAAATTCATTTCTTTGAGACATACCAGTCCTAGTTCCGGATTTACTGTATTGAAAAAACATTTTTTTTGAGACAGTATCTCGCTGTGGAGCCCATGCTGGCCTTGAACTCGCGGTGCTCCTCCTGCCTCAGCCTCTCAAATGCTAGGATTACAGGTGTACTCCACCACACCAGGTTTGGAGACGTCTCTTACCCCCTCTTTTTTTTCTTGTCCCTTCTTTAATGCATCGTCATACGTCTTGTCTTGCAGTGAACTTGGATCTCCAGGAGAAAGATCCCTGGGACCTGGGGCAATGTTTTGTTTCATTTGTTTCTCAGTCCCTGTCACATAGTCTGTTTATTTTTATTTTTTTATTTTTTGGGATTTTTGAGACAGGGTCTTGACATGTGGTTCAGACTGGCCTTTGAATTCACTGTGTAATCCAGGCTGGCCTCAAACTTGTGGTGATCCTCTTGCCTCAGCCTCTCAAGCGCGGGATCGCAAATGTGGGCCACCACAGTAGGCTCACACATAATCCATTTTGTAAAGGTTAGGTGAATGACTTATTTTCCCATTTAAATGTCACTTTATTCTGTAGAGTTTTTGTTTTACTTTTTTAAAAATGTACTTGAAAAGCTTTTATTTTTAACTTTTCTTGGCCAGTGGTTATCCTTATGTTCAGATTATTAAAAACTCATGTAAAAATATGCAAAACAAAATGAAGTAGATGTCTCTCTCTCTCTTTTTTTGGTCTTTTTGAGACAGGGTCTTGCTATGCAGTTCAGGCTGGTCTTAAGTTCACTTTGTAGCCTCGGTTCTTCTCAAACTCACAACGATCCTCCTGCCTCAGTCTCCCAAGTGCTGGGATTACAGGTGTGCATCACCACCCCCAGCCTAGATGTCTTCTTATAGACAAAATGGGTAAAACTTTGGCTTCTTTATTGCTATAAAGTGATTTGACCCTAAAAACAATAGTTCGCTGGTACACAGACCAAATTTTTCTTCTAGCTCTCCAGTGTTCATGAAGCATCAACTTCCATGGGAGATGGTTTCACAGAAAATCACCTGAACTTAACTAATCAATGTACTGATTTAAAAAATTGCCTGTGACTGAGAGCATTATCCTGTTTGTTAGGCACCTAATTATATTTAAAAAGTTGAGCAGGGCTGCGGGTTTAGGTCAGTGGCACAGCGCCTGCCTGGCAAGTGCAAGGTCGTGAGTTCGATTTCTGGTACTGGAAGAAAAACAAAAAAACAAAAAAAGAAAAAAGCAACTCAAAACAAGATGATGCCCCTATAGTGGCTTAATAAAATGAGACAACTGAAATGATTTTAGGGCTCCAGGAAGGTCCAACTCTCTTACAGAATTCGAGATTCTCTGGGTTTAGACAAAGACTTTTCTGGGCAGCCCTTGTTTATTAGGTTTTCAAACAAAGGAGGGAGGGAAATACTGAAGAAACGCAGGAATCTGTTTTTTTTGTTTTTGTTTTTGTTTTGTTTTTTACGGTACTGGGAGTCGAACTCACAAAGTTGCGCTTGCCAGGCAGGCGCTGTGCCGCTGAGCTAAATCCCCAGCTCCAAGGGAGGGATCTGAGCAGGACCTTAGGAGAATTTTCCCAAAGAGTAAATTATGTCAATCAGGAGAACTACTCATCTTTAGGTTGGTATTTATTGTAGGAGCATGGAACCTGTAGCTGCAGTCTCCTTGTAGTTAATTGGGGTTGGAGTCAAACGTCCTCAGCTGTGGTCCTGTCTTGTCCTTTGAGGCGTCACAGCTTCACAGGCCTCAGCAGTGACCAGTGACTCACAGGTTCACTTACTATGAGTCTGATGCCCAACTCCAGACAAGGTGCCTAAGCTTTGGACAGCTCACAAGTAAACATGGAAAGCTGATTGGTTAATATTAAGTCCTGCTCAGAGCTGCTTCATAGTGGTCTCTGTCAGTTCCCAAACTGGGGTCCTGGGGCTGCTCAAGGCTGGTTCCTGCAAGTTCACCTCGGCACCCGTCACCCACCTGGCCCACGGGCCTGCTGTGATCTGCTCTACCAGTGCACTTGGACAGGGCGGGGTCCTGGCTCTGAGGGAGTTGATAGGAGTCTTCCCCCTCTTTCTGGACCGGGCAGCCTTCTCAGTCAGGCCACCTCCTTGCATGGACACCCACCTGCACTTGCCGCACTCCAGCTAGAGGAAATACCACACGCCCCAAACCAAGAAGAACTGAGCCAGGCTCTGTGCTCCCATCTCCCAGGAAACCAGGTGCTTTGCAGACTCCAGAGGGTCTTTCAAATGTAGCCTCTTGGTCCTTGGCCCTTGGCCACCTTCTGGATCCTGCCCTCATCCACAGTGAAGGACCAGACCTGGGAGTCTCTGGGAGCCTCCTTGGTGCCACCTTGAAGCCATACAAACAGGTCACATCCTGAGCTCAGAGGCCTGTGGGGCCCCACTGAGGTACTGATGGTGTATTACTGGCAATGTGTGTCCTTGGGGTCCAGGAGGGGCCTTTGGAGGCTGCCTGAGCCCATCCTCCACCCCCCATCCCCATCCCCATGCCCCATCCCCCACCCCACCCCACCCCACCCGGCTCTCCCCTGTCAGAAAGCTGTGCGGCTCTTGGAGGCGGCTACACATAGAGAGAACCAGGATACATACATTCATTTATTTATTTTATTTGTCTTTTTTTTTTTGGTACCAAGAATTGCACTCAGGACCTTGTGCTTGCCAGGCAGGTGCTTGTGCCACTGAGCTATATCCCTGGCCCCTTATTTGTCCTTTTTTTTTTGTCTTTTTGAGACGATCTCGCTATGCAGTTCAGGCTGGTCTTGAGCTCACTTTGTCGTCCAGCAGGCTGGTCTCGAATTCGCAATGATCCTCCTGCCTCAGCCTCCCAAGTGCTGGGATTACAGGCGTGTGTCACCTCGCCCAGCCTATTTGTCTTTTTGAGACGGTCTCAGCATGCAGTTCAGGCTGGCCTTGAGCTCACTTTGTAGGCCAGGCTGGTCTCGAACTTGTAATGATCCTCCTGCCTTAGTCTCCTGAGTGCTGGGATTACAGGCGTGCACCACCATGCCTGGCAGAATACTTGTATTTAAATCTCACCTTCATCACTTACCACCTTTGTGATTTGTCTGAGACTATTCCATCACTCTATGCCTCAGTTTCATTATTTTGTGGTACCAAGAATTGAACCCTCAGCCTTTCCTATGTTAGGCAAGTGCTCTACCACTGATCTGTATCCCAACCCAATTTCATTATTTGTAAAGTGCAGATGATAACAGAACCTATTTAGTCTGGTGTCCCAGCAGTCTGGGAGGCTGAGCTAGGAAAATCACAAGTCTGAGACTAGGTGCCTGGCAAACAAGCAATTTAATGAGACCCTGTCAAAAAAAAATTTCTTTGAGCTGGCGTGATGGTGCACATCTATAAATCGTAGCACTTGGGAGGCTGAGGTAGAACGATCAATGTAAGTTGGAGACCAGCCTGGACTACACAGAGAGCCCTTGCTTCCAAAAAGAAAAAAAAAAAGTATACCACTTACTTAAGACTACGAAACTATCTAATTTTGTGAAAACGGTTGGAGGTCAGCCTGCGCTACATAACGGAGTAGAGAAAGACCCTGTTTCATACAACCCCCGCCCCTAAAAAAATACGTTTCTGCATTTTCGTGGAAGTATTAATTTAACATTATGTAGTGCATCAGAGAACATAACCCAGTAAGCTTTATAAAGTTAACGGCGCTAAGAACCAATATACTAGGTAGAATCTCATCACTCTTATCAGACTAAGCAGTATTAGCTTACCAATACCAACGTTGCATCTACGGTAGTGAAAAACCTTACTGAAATCCGACGTTTAAAGTATTTAGAAACTACTCAACAACAATTGTTGCACCTCTCTGAAAGCACTTTAAACACCATAAAGATCTATCTTTGTCACAATTAAAGATAGTCTCGTTAAAAAACGAGACCTCAAAAAATTGGGTAACAACTCAGAATTGTTCCTCTCCACGGAAATCTTTAGTAAAAGGCGAAAGATTTATACGATCTGAAGAGAAACCAGAGTATGAAAATTATGTGCCACTGCTGACTCCCAGAGAGAGGGTACTCTTATCACGATTATGGTTGTTCAATGCCTGGCCACACAAGCTACCTGGCTACACATCACGTGAGCATGTGTTTCCTACCTGCACCCCACGACTGTAGAGCAACACCCGTGGGGAGAGATCTCAGGCAGTGCGAGTGCTCTTTCTCGCGGTGCACCATGGGTATGTAAATTAGAGCGGCAGGCATTGCATTGCAGAGCCCAGCCGCGGGGCGTCGCTCTCCCCTGGCCCTGCGCGCTGTGCGCAGGAGTTGTGCGAGCTTCCCAGGGGCCTGTGCCCGGCGTCTCCTCTTACCCGGCCTGGGAGTGGTAAATTAGCAGTTCCAAGTGGTGAGGGTTCTCCTGTCCTCTCCTTGTCGGCGTTGAGGGAGGCAGAAGCTAAAATGGCCAGGCGCAGGTGCTAAGGGGCAGTGGGACCGCGCAGGAGGACAGCGTATCTCCACCTCATGGGGAAGATAGCACACAAGCCGGTTGGAAACACCCAAGCGCTTATGCCGCTGAGCTGTATCCCCGGCCCTGTGTGTGTCGTTTTGAGACAGGGTCTCGTTATTCAGTTCATGCTGGCCTTGAGCTCATTTTGTAGCCCAGGCTGGTCTCGAACTCGCAATGATTCTCCTGTCCCAGCCTCCCAAGTGCTGGGGTTACAGGCCTGAGGCACTATGCCTGGCAACTATCTGTACATTTTTAAAGAAGTGACTATTCATTTCAGTTGCCCACTTTTTGATTGGGTCTTTTATTTTGAAGGATCTAATTTTTTAATTTATATATTCTAGATAGTATTCCTCTGTGTAAAGAATAGCTGGCAGAATTTTTTTTATCATTGTGTCGGTTGTCTTTTCACTCCATTGGTTGTTTCTTTTGCTGCGTTGAGGCTTTTTAATTTGTTATGATCTCATTTGCTTATTCTTGGTATTATTTTCTGTGTAACTGTGCTTGTTGACAAAGTCCTACCTATACCTATGACTTCATGCGTTTTACCTCTTTTATCTTCTATCACATTGTTTCTGTTTTAACACTTAGATCCATTCTGATTTTAGTTTAGTCCATTTAGTTCATCTTTTTTTTTTGACACAGGGTCTTGTTATGTCGTTCAGGCCGGCCTTGAATTCACTGTGTATCCTAAGCTAGCCTTGGCGATCTTCCTGCCTCAGCCTCCCGAGAGATGGAAATATAGGTGTGCACCACCATACTCAGGTCTACACTGTTTTAAACCAGACTTTGTTTTTTTGAGTACTGGGGATAGAATTCAGGTCTTTGCATTAAGATACTAACCCCCCACTTGCTTTTTATTTTGAGACAGTCTCTCTCCCTTTTTTTTTTTTTGGCTTTTTTTCCCGTACCGGGAATCAAACTCATGACCTCGCACTTGCCAGGCAGACACTGTGCCGCTGAGCTAAATCCCCAGCCCCTGAGACAGTCTCATTAAGTTTATAAATTGTTCAGGTAGGGCTCAAATTTGTGATTGTCCTGCCTCAACCTCCCAGAGTGCTGGGATTATAGGCATGTGCCACCACACCTGACTTTTTTCTTCTTCGAATGTGAAATAAATCATTATGTACTGAAAACATGTACTAATTTTTTTTGACAAGGTCTCACTATGCAGTCTAGGCTGGCTTTGAACTCACAATGTAGCCCAGGCCAGCCTTGAACTCACAGTGAACCTCCTGCCTCAGCCTCCTCAGTGCTGGGATAACAGGCGTGTACCACCAGGCCTGGCAAAAACAAAACAAAACAAACTTTAAAAGCTTTTCATCTTTAATGAAATGACTTTGGAAATGACACCAACACAACAGTTTTCAGAGTCACAGTAAGCTACACAGAATTATATCCATAATTACTATGAGTGCCAACATTTCAAGCAGTAATTTCTGTTACATGACAAACAAGATCAAGAAATCATCAAACAAAAGAGACCCATAGCTTCAGACAAGGCAAATCCCAGGATAGCATATGAGAACAGCTGCTGCTTCAGCAAAGGGTTTCTGGCATAGCCATGATAAGACTGCCAAAGACTGTCCCGGTACCAGCACCAGGACCAGCCGCTCCTACTGTTGCAGCACCTGCACCAATAAGTTGGGCAGCAGTGCCAGTGTCTCTGCTGATAGCACTGGTTTGAAACTCCCTTCATATTAGCTGACACACAGCATTCTGGGCCCCATTAAATACTGTAGAGTTCTCTCCAGTCCTAGACTCTGGCCGAGGTAACACTGATGCAGAAATGGTCTGTATGCTGCTCAGACCCAGCTCGGATCACAGCAGGGGTGCAGGTGAGCTTGGTGCAGGCGAACATTTTAGTCTTTGGAGGGGCGCAGCTGGAGGATGTGGGTGACCAGCGATGTGAGCTCCTCTCCTGCTTGCTTCCTCTTTCTTGGAGGTGGTGGTGGTGCAGAGGTTGGAGTGGAGCTCAAAAAAAATTTTTTTTGTCTTTTTGAGACAGGGTCTCGCTATGCAGTTTAGGCTGGCCTTGAGCTCACTTTGTAGTCCAGGCTGGTCTCGAACTCGCAACGATCCTCCTGCCTCAGCCTCCCAGAGTGCTGGGATTACAGGTGTGCGCCACCACACCCGGCTCTTCAAAAAATGTTCTTAAAAATGTGGACTACCCCATGCATTTGCCTGTCATCCTTGCGCAGGGACCCTGCTAACTTCTCTGTATCATTTCAATCTTAGTATAAGCATTTAATCCAGATCCTGTTACCAAGTATATGACAAAAACTTAGAATGTAGGATCTTTACCACACAGGACTACAGAAGTCCCAGGACCTCTGGCCCCAACACCCCATGAGCCACCCCCAATTTCTAATCCTATTGTCGTTCAGATCTAGAATGGCCCCCCCCAGATCTCATTTTTAGAGGCAGGACTTTTGGGAGGTGACTGGGTCATGGGGGTGCGGTACTCAGCAGTGGACTCATTCACTGAGGACCTCACAGCTATGTGCAGCAGGGCCCACTTGGAAGAGGGGAGTCCTGGGGGGTGCTGTTAGAAGGTTATCACTTCCCCAGTGCTTCCCTTCTTTCTTTGCTTTCATTTATTTATTTCTTGGTTGTGGGTTTTTTGTTTTTTTTTTTTTTTGGTACTGGGAATCAAACTCAGGATCTTGCGCTTGCTAGCCACTGAACGATAACCTCAGTGTATTTTTTGGTTTCGAGACAAGGTCTCATACATAGCCATGCTGGCCTCAAACTGGCAGCGATCCTCCTGCCTCAGCCTCCTGGGTGTTGGGATTACAGGCGTGGGCCATCGCGGCTGGCCTTTCTCTGCTTCTTGGAGTCTGCTATGAAGAGCAGGAACAGCTTTCTTCCACCTTGCTGTTCCTGCCTTGGAGCCAGCCAACAACTGACTGAACTCCCTGAACCCTGAACTAAATCAAACCTCTCCTCCTGTGTTGGGTATTGTGTCTCAGCAATGGGAAAACTAGTATTTATTTAGACTCCCAACACTGCCCAAAAGAAAACCACAGTCATCTGAGTTCATATAGAATATATTTCATTCTTTAAAAAATAAAACTTTCAGCAGAGCTAACATCTATGTATCCTACAAAAATAAACATCTTCATATAAATAACTTATGGGAGGTGGACAGGGCTATACAGCCCACCTCGGAGTCTCCACGCAGTGAGAGGCCAGCACTGGGCCAGGGTGCTTGAGGGCCCGAAGGCCTAGACTCCTGTGGGCAGCACCACGGACGGGACCTGGCTGCACTGCGGCCCGAGGTGCCGGCTTGCATCCCCGCCTGAGTGCAGACATGGGTCCCAGTGCGGCAGGCTGCTCTGCACGGTCGGGGGTCTGCAGGGGCTGCGTCGGGATGCAGACAGCAGCAGCAGGGCCCGCCGGGGGCGCCCTGCACTGCGCACCCCACCCTGCTTTCCAGTGATGTCTCGCGCCCAAGCAGGGCCTCCATTTCCGCGGCTCCTTTACTCAGCGGCTGGACACGATGCCCTAGCGCTGGGGCTGCCAGAGGTGTCGGCAGTGGGGGTGGCAACAGAGGACCACGTGGGCTCGTCAGAGGCTGGGTGGACGTAGGCACCCGGGAGTGGGGGTGGGCGGAAGGCCACGGTCATGGAGGCGGTCACTCTGGCAAAGGCCTGGGGCAGGCTGGGAGACGACTCCCACCTGAGCCCGCTGTCCTGTGCAGCTGCAGGGCTCGGCACTCGCGGGCTCTCCTTGTACATCTGTACCACCTGGGGGAGACGCCAGGGCTGTGAGCATGGGGTGACAGGACGGCAGCGCCAGTCAGCGCCTCCCTGGTGTACCACGTCGTTGGTAAGCGCGGGGTCTTGTGGGCCCCAGCAGGCTGACGGCTCACAGTGAGAGGATGTGAAGGCTGGGGCCAGCCCTGCACCTTGCTCTGGATCCTAAAAGGCTAAGGCAGGTCCCAAGGCCAGCGAGGCCAAGGGGCAGGAACGTGGTATCGGGAGGAGCAGGCTGCCGGTTTCAGCTGGCGGCTGCCGGTTTCAGCTGGCGGCAGCTGTTGAGCAGGACTTCGAGAACTGAGCTTGTTGGCCATGGAGGGCATCTCATATGGCTCAGTCCCTTCCCTTGCCCGTCCCCACCCTGTCCCTCGGGCTGGGAGCGAACCTCTGGCGGGGGCCCCAGGAGGGACAGCAGCACAGGCAGCAGCACGAGTCCATGCAGCAGGCCCAAGAGGGTGAGTGCCGTCAGCACCAGGAAGAAGTACCTGTCGGGAAGGGCATCAGCGGGCGTGGATACAGCATGGCAGACCCTGCCTCCTCCTCCTACGAGGGCCCCATACCTCACGATGAAGTCAAAGTTGGAACCAGCAAGCATGAGCAGACCCAGCAGCGTGGACACTGCTCCATCGGTCACAGGGGCGAATGTGTGCTCCAGGGCCTGGGCAGCCCGAAGGTTCCGGCTACCCTGGGAGGTCAGGAAGCCCTGGGGGGACAGAGTGGTTCTGGAGCTCCTCATCTGCCAACCAGGGCCAGCTCACCCATGTCCTCCGCTGCTCCTTCTCTGTCCTAGGGCTCACCCGTGCCTGGTCTCGGAAGGCCAGGTGAACCAGACATGTCTGGTGACACAGGGAGATGTCCAGAATGGGCGGGGGGAGGTCCACAGCCTGTCACGTGGGTTTTGTAAATAAAATTTTGTTGAAATATCACCACACTCACCACACTAAGGTATGTGCTGTTTTAGGGACTGAACTCAGGGGCAATCACCAAACTACAGCTCCATCCCTTTTCACAATTTTGTGACAGGATCTTGTTAAACTGCCCAGGTTACCCTTGAACTTGTGATCTTCTAGTCTCCAGTCCCCCAAACAGCTGGGATCACAGGTGTGCACCATTGTGCCCCACTGCTTTTTTTTTTTTTTT